TTTTTCTGAGCATATAATTTGTGCTAAGCACCAGAAAACTCATTCACTCTCCATTAATTAGTGAATTAATCCAGTAAACATTATTTGAAGCTTGCTGAGTATTAGTCACAGCAGGTACAAACTTGAGTAAGATACAGTCTCTGCTCCCACGGGCTTACCATCTAGCCCAGTTGTAAGATACTCTGTAGAAGAATGGGGTAAATGTTGTAGGAGAGGCCGGGGGAGGACAGAGGAGGGTCAGTGAGCTCAGAGGGGCAAAGGGAGGGAGTGGTAGTGGTGGGGGGCTTCCTGGAGGAGGCACTGCTAGATCTAAGTGTGCGAGAACAGAAGCCAGCAAGCAAATACGGGAGCCGTGCCACCTATTACTAGAACTGTCAGGTGGCCAAAGAAAAAGATGGGCGTGCAGGGGTAGAGGAGACCAAGCGGCAGCAGAGGGACACAGGAAAGCAGCAGGGTGTTGAGGGGGTAGGGGAGGTGGTCCTGGCTCGCTCAAACTTTGGAAGCAAAGCAGAGGAATCTGAATTCTGTTTATCTGGAAAGCCATGCGAGACCTTGGAGGGTTTTCACGTAAGACGCATCTTAGCAAATGACTATCCAAGCAGTTTGGAAAGGAGACTGAAAGGAGGTAAAGGCGGGACAGGGTGGAAAGTGCCGGTCCATCTAAGTGGAGACAGATGGGGCGGCCTGGACCTGGGGCCTGGCGGGAGGAACGGAAACGGTGAGATGGATCCCAGACAGCGCAGCAGACGGCGGGAAGAACGCAGAGGGCTGGATCGCTGCACCGCAGAGGCTAAACTGCAGAGGCCTTACTGGCCCACCTCCCGGCTGCGCCGTCACCCCAGGTTTCTTCGCCTCCTCAGCCCTGAGCTGAGTAATAAATAGCTACGTTAACGGTGTTAGCTCATAGGAGGCACTCAATAAATCATGCAATATGCTTTTCTGGAAGAAAGTATATTCCACTGAGCGTCACTTATCAAGGTTGAGAAACGTAGCAGGAAGAACAGGTGCAGAGGAAAGATTATGAGTTCGACTCTAGACACACTGACTGTAGGGAGCCCGTGGGGCAACTAGGTGAGAAAACGGACCTTGAAGTGTAATATCTGGAATTTGGGAGTCTGACGACGCCAAGCGATGAGGGAAGCTCCTTGGGTGTAAGAACAAGAAGGAGTGAGAGCTCAGGATGGCGGCTGGGGGAGCCTGGGGGAGCCCGGTGTCGCAGGGCCAGCAGCGCAGAGTGGGGCGGTGTCAGGGAGAGTAAGCAGAGAGAACGGGAAGCCGTGGACGCAGTGGCAAGAACTTCAAGGTAGAGACAGCTTCACAAAGGGGGGTGCGGTCAATATCATATCATGTGAGTGTTTTCTTTTTAAACATTTGATTCATTTCAGAGAGAGAGCACGGGTAGTGGGGAGGGGCAGAGGGAGAGGGAGAAGCAGACGCCCCGCTGAGGAGGGAGCCGAAGCAGGGCTCCATCCCAGGACCCCGGGATCACGACCTGAGCCCAGGGCAGACCTTACTCAACCGAGCCACCCAGGCGCCCCACCTCGTGTGTATTTTCAAATGCTGCAGGATGGCCAAGGAGCCAAATAAAGCATTCTGGGGGCTTGGGAGCACCGAGGCGCTGCTTTCACAGGCCTGGAGGGTCTGAAGCCACCTCGACACAAGCTACGGGGGCGGGGGGTGCACGAGGCAGTGGGAACGGTGCCTGGGAAAGGGGAAGGGAGCCCACACACAGCACACAGTAACCCCAGGGTGTGAGGTTAAGAGGGAGATCCTTGGGGTTTGTCTGCATAAAGAAGGGAAGTCAGCGTCGCTGGACCTGGCGAGCGCACCCAGCAGGGGCTGCGGGGAATGCGTGACAGGGTGGCACTGCCCAGGACAAGTGGCCACCGTGAAGTGCTGTGTGAAGTGTCCTGGCGCCAAACAGGCACAAGCATCCCCCAGGTCCCAGGGCTTAGGGCCCCCTCCCCTTCCTCCCCCCTCCCCCCCACGAAGGCAGAGCCGCGGGTGCTGGAATGGGGGCTGAAGCCGTGTTCGGTGAGGAGATGGCTGAGGGGAGCCCCTCGGGCGAGCAGGCGAGCAGAGGCAGGACAGAGGGGCGCCAAGGAAGCACCTGTCCGGGAGTGGCAGCTGTTCAGTGTGGGAGCCGCACAGGAAGGCGGGGGCCAGGGCAGCAGCTGGCTCAACGGCCTCCTGGCCCAGGTGCCCCGAGGTCCTGACCCGAGGGCTTTACGGAGCAGAATCAAAGGAGCAGGTTTTGGCCTCAGCAAGAGGACGAGGTGCCCTCGGGGCCCAGGGCGTGGGCAGGAAGAGGGGGGTCACCTTCAGAGGCTGAATGAGAGGAGGTGGGGGTCCCCAGGCAGGACCAGGTAGCCGGTGCTCCCCCCGAGGCTGGGGTGGGGAAGAGTCGTGAGGTAAGGAGTCCGGCGCCAACGCGCCCGTTTTGACTCACAGGCTACCCGGACGCAGGTGCCCGCCCGGCGGGAAGAGAGAAAGCCGGCTCCGGGACTCAGGACGGGTCCCGCTGGACAGCTGCTGAGCTAACTAGGGGTGCCAGCATCGCCCCCCATCAGAGCAGAAGCCGCGGGCGTCTGCTCAAGTGAGCACCCACTGGCCCTCGGGCCTGGTGCGAGCGAAGCTGGCGCGAGCCCCTCTCCCTGGTGGAAGTTAAACTCCAGACAGAACAAGGACCACCTACCTGCCACGGCCAGAGCGGCAGGCTCAGCAGACTCAAACCTTGAACAGTGGCCCGGAAAGGGGGTGAGCTTCTGACTTCCCCTTTCTTCCTCGGAGTCCCAACTCTGAAGCATGCCGTGGGGGTGGCGTGAGTCGCAAACGTGCACGGGGGGTGCTGAAGGCAGAAACTTCAGGAGAAGACCCCCAGGGTTGGCCGGAGGACCAGGACACGTTCCCCCGCATGACGGAGACTCTCTCTCTCTCTCTCTCTCTTCTTACCCTAGTCCACGTTGGGAAGGGGCATGGCAGGCAGGCACCTACCACCCCAAGAGCAGGCTAGCTCTCTGACCAAAGGTACCAGAGAAGGGGGGCTCTAGTATCTGACAACTGGAGGCAAAATCTCTGTTATTTCTTCCCTCTCTTTTCTCTTGCTGCTTTGCCCTAAAGATGACTCCGGTTGCAGAGAACTGTGCAACAGGGGAGGAAAGCATGGAAACCTATCTTTCTTGTCACAGGAGCTTTGAAGGGGGTCCCTAATTCTGTGTACGGACTGATGAGACAATTCAAGTCCTGGGATCACCCCAGAGCTCTCCATATATGAGGAAGATGCAAAAAAAAAAAAAAAAAAAAGCACTGGGCATAAGCTTCAAGAACCGGAATACCATAGAATCCACCACCTACGTCCCAGCATAGCCCGAGTGGGGTTTGTGCAGGGCAGATACAAAGAAGCGTAGCACAGGCTTTGAGAACTGCCCCTATGATGGAACTACAACCCACAGAAGTCTAAATAGAATTCGCAATGAACCTAACCAGGGTTGCTGCATGCCAAGAAAAGAAAAAAAAAAAATCACCATTTCTCAGAGTTTTAACAAGAGACCGCGTCTCACAACATAGTACAATGAAAACAGTCCCAAATTAACCAACACAACAAAACAAACAAATAAATGAAAAAGCTCCACAACCTCCAGACAGGCAAATCTGACCTATTCCCAAGGGAAAAAGACAGCCAGCAAATGCTGAACCACCTCCCGCCCCCATGACCGAGACACTGGAAATATCAGACAGAGAAGGCAGGCCCTGTCACATGCATTTTCATTCAGTTCAGTGTTTTCTTTCCTCTGAACCCTGGAGGGATACAAGGACAGGCAGGAGTACCGATCAGGATGGGTGACTGCATCAGACTCATCATTTAAGAGGCTCATAGTCCTTTTCCAAACAGTGTAAAGAACGAAGATTCTACAACAGAACACAGCCATTTAGGGGCTTATTGAAACCAGTGGATTGCAGAACAGCTGAATAAAACTAGACTTGTCAGGATGCCCGGGTGGTTCGGCAGTTGAGCGACCGCCTTCGGTCCAGGGAGTGATCCCGGGGTCCTGGGATCGACTCCTACATCGGGCTCCCTGCAGGGAGACTGCTTCTCTCTCTGCCTGTGTCTCTGCCTCTCTCTCTCTCTATGTGTGTGTGTCTCTCATGAATAAATAAATCAAATCTAAAAAAAAAGCCACCAGACTGAAGAGGTCCTGGTGGGCCAGGCCAGCCGATGGTGGTGGCAGGGCAGCTGAGGACAGCGTTGGTTTCTACCCCCGACACTCCTAGATCCTGATGCATCCTTCTTTCCTCCCGAAAGCCAAGTTGTTTCAAGTTGGTCAGCATGCTGGAGGCGAAGGGAGTCCCAAGCGGCTGAATGCAATTGCAAAGCTGGGTGCCTGGGAGCTGCCAGCAGTCACCACCATGTAGGCAGCCACTGTGGGCACAGGGGAGAAAATGGGGATGGAGGGGACGCCCCTGCTTCAGCTCTAGGCTCTAATGATGCTACCCTTCTCCATCAGTGCCTGGACTTACAAAAACAGACGTGCTGGATCTGGTGCACAGGCTGCAGTTTGCAGGTGCCCGACCTGCCTCTAAGAATATCAAAGATAAGCTTGAAGGACAACCTCATGAAAACTGAACAAAATTTCTTTATCAAAATATAAGGTTCCATGTTTGAATACAATGTTCCTTTTTACACTCACATAGTTTTAAATGAGGTTATGAATAACACTTTCGGCCAAGCCCTCCCTCCTAGAGGTTCACTATCAGTAGTAGGAAATGGGAACGCGGATTTTCTAGGACTATTTCCTGAGTCATGAAGGTGTTGCTTCTGCAAATAGAAAGCGTTGGAACACAGACTGCTTACACGGTACGACTTTTCTGAGAACTCATGACCTCAGGGCTGAGACCAGGAAGCATATGAGACAAGACTTGTCAATACCTACCTAAGTGAGACCTGAGAAGGGAGGGCAAAGGTGCCACCTGTCCTGATCTCTCTGATTCACGAAACCTACCTTGATAAATCTTCTCATCTTCATCAGTCATGTAGGCATTAGCTCCCCAGATCACCATCTTGTTGATGTACAATGGGTATTTTGCAGCTGCAATGAGTGCTGTAATTCCACCATCACTCCACCCCAGCAGAGACACCTTCTTAAAGTTCAGCGTCTGCGAAAGAAATAGAGTGAAATGCTTATTAGCACACCTGGCCCTCTCCGCTAGAAGAATCCGATAATGGACAACTGTCACAATCAATACACCTGTGAGGTTTGGGGCATCAGTTGGTAATTAAAGGAAAATCCTAGAGTCCATTTGATGATGGAAATGGTTTTTCTCCATTAGTTTTGTGTGAATATAAGTATCGTAAGGTCCTAAGTACCTCTGAAGCTAATAATACAGTATATGTTTATACTATTGAATTTTTTTTAAAACTTAACGTACATGGTGTTATTTTGAATCAATGAGGGAACTACATCTCCTGGTTGGACAGAATTTCTGGAAACACTGGAGATCAGCTGTCCTTGGAAATGACAAGTAACATGTGCATGCACGCCCACGCCTGAGCAAAGGCTTTGAGAATAGTAATGTAGATTAGAGAGGGAAACTTGATATTTACTGGGTGAAATGAAGTCATTGCATCTGATAAAACCACTGACTGCAACTGTGGGAAGAACAGGCTGAAGGAGGCTGGAGAACGAGGGAGTCACAGGGAGGTTATATTAGTCCTTAAATCAACCAGGCTCTGAAAATGTGTTTGACAGGGAAACTGAACAAAGATTTCATTGGAGACATACTGCCTAGAAGTAAAAATAGGATGACTTGGAAAATAAAGGTTAAACAATTATCAGTCCAAGATACTGATGGGACTATATATTCCTAAAAGTAGATGGGTAATAACTGGTACTACCTTGTAAAAGGAATATTTGCATCTTCTGTGACCCAGTGTCATCCCCTAAATATGTATGGAACACCTGCACATGTGCACCGGGAGACAGGTCCAGGGGTGTCCACACCAACATTGTTTATAAAATGTCCATGGACAAAACAACATTCGCTTCACTGCTGTTTATAATAACAAGAAAAGCAACTTAAAATTTTTGATTATTTGTCCACCATTGGAGAGAGGTGAAATAAGACAGTGCATCCCTACAGTGGAATATTATGTGACTATTATAAGACTTACATAGACTTATTATTTATTAACATGGAAGGATCTCCTTGACAAGTTGTTCAAAGAACAGTAAGTTGGAAAAAACATTACGTATAAGTATGATGCCATCAGTACAAAACTGTATTTATATATGTAATAAGATTGGCCGGAAGGGAACCCTCTTATGCTGTTGGTTGGGAATGCAAGCTGGTGTGGCCATTCTGGAACACGGTGTGGAGGTTCCTCAAAAAGTTAAAAATAGAGCTACCATATGACCCAGCAATTGCACTAGTGGGTGTTTATCCAAAAGATACAAACATAGTGATTCGAAGGGGCACTTGCACCCCAATGTCTACGGCAGCAATGTCCACAATAGCCAAACTACGGAAGGAGCCCAGATGTCTGTTAACAGATGAATGGGTAAAGAGGATGTGATATATACATACAACAGAATATCTATCTAAAAGAATGAAATCTTGCCATTTGTAATGATGGATGAAACTAGAGAGTATTATGCTAAATAAATCAGTCAGAGAAAGACAAATATCATATGATATGACTCGTGGAATTTAAGAAACAAAACATGAATATAGGGGAAGGGAAGGAAAAATAAAATAAGGTGAAAGCATGGAGGCAAACCATAAGAGATGCTTAACTCTAGGAAACAAACTGAGGGTCACTGGAGGAGAGGAGGGTGGGGGACAGGGTGACTGGGCATTAAGGAAGGCACTTGATGTAATGAGCACTGGGTGTTGTATGCAATGGGTAAATCACTAAATTCTACCCCTGAAACTAAGAATACACTATATGTTAACTAAATTGAAAAAAAAAAAAAAAAGGTTGGCTGGAAAGGCAGATTCTCAAAGTCATAACAGCAGTATCTCTAAGTAGTTGGATTATGGAATATTTCTACTTCCTAATTCATAGCTATTTGAACTTCCTGAATTTTCTGTAGGAATCACATGGTATTGCCCTTATAGAAATAAAAAAAAAAACCAAAACAAAATAGATGAAGACAGGCTCAGCCATCCTCCCTCCTCTGGGCTCCTCCCTAAGAGACCCACCTTCATCAAATCAACAGCATCTTTTGCATCCCTTTCCAAAAAATCCATTGGGAAATCTCGATCTGGGGGTCTGGAATGTCCATATCCTCGAGGATCCCAGGCAACCACTGTGAAGAGCTTCTTATTCAGGTTCTTAATCTGGGGTCCAAAATCAGTCTCTCCACTTCCTAAAAACAGCCACTTAGTTACCCTCAGGTGAATGATTTCATTATTTCAAGCACATTACAGTAAAATCAGAAACAACTACAATCTTAAAACAAAGTAACTAGTTTCTACTCAAAGTTAGGCAGCAGGATGCATCCAGCAAAGTAGCCTCATGATGGTAAAATTCATTTACTGGGAGGCTGACTTCCTTTCCTGGTGGAGTTCAGACCTGCCTTTTGTCTCCTCCTAGTGGCTACTTTGAGGACAGAGGCCCTGATTCATTAGGTCCTGTAATATTTCAGCACTTTTGATACTTTTCCAGTCAATCTTCCTTGAAAAAAAAAAAAAAAAAGGAATTTATGCAACTGCATACAAACTGACTTCTGATATGATATGTTTCTGGGTTATTTTTCTTTCTTTTTAAAAAAATGACTGTCACAAGTGAGGGTGATCTCGATGTTGTATCGGTCAACAAATTTATGAAATTTGGCCCAAGTTATTCGAAGTAGAATTCTAAATTCCCAGGTGTTTTTTTACTAAGCTAACATGAAGAGCCCTGAAGATTTTATTTTCTGGTGGTAAGTAAACACCAGGAAACTAAAACACTTAAATGAGGGGGAGGGGAGTGTGTGGAGAGAAGTCAAATTTGCTTGTTTCATTCAAAAAAAAAAAAAAAAAAAGCAGCATAGGTAAAGGAGTAGAAGCTTGTCAGCAGTTCCCAGCCTGCCCATGAGGTCAGGGCCACTGCGTGCACACACCCGCTGTGTGTGGCGTGGAAGGCCAGACTCTCAAGGAGCCCAGTCCAGGGGCAAGTCAGCATTTCATTTTTATTTTTATTTTGTTTTTTTTTTTTTTTCTTAGCATTTCATTTTTAAAGTCGGCTTAGCTTCTACAGGCTTGTAGCTCATGCCACACTCGGATGCTAAACATCCTGCTTGATAGGCTAGCTCTTATTAGAAAATGTCTTTTAAGAGGACACAGGATCATTTAACATCATCAAGGACCACCATTCTTCCTGGGAACATCTACCTTTCTCAACGTTTGGAAAACCAAAGGCAAAAATATAAATGGTTTTCAAGCTGGTGTCTACTGCTCTGACACACGAAGATTCTCTTATGATCCCTGGAGAAAGTTCCACATGGGAACCACTTTGAAAGAGGGGCAGGAGGTGAGAAGACGTAAAGAGAACAGTCTAAGTCAAGGTCAATTTCAGAAATGATGAGACACTAGCTTTCTGGCACACAAGTATACATTTGAATACCAGTGCCAAGAAAATGAAATCCCTTAAAAAAATTATTTTAAAGAATAGTTACCAGTACATGATACCTGAGAAGGAGACACATCAACACTGGTTGCCTACGGGGACGGGTACTGGGTGCTAGGAACAGGGGATTAGGAGAATCTCACTGTGGTTTAGATTTTTTAATAAAAAATGGGTTAATGTTTTACATAAGCAAAAATTAAATTGTCAAAAGTATTTTATAACTGGATAACAATCACAATACTGGAAAAATGGAAATCTAAGGCAGTAACTTGTTCATTGCTTTTACAGATACCTTTAGATCTACACACCAGTCCCTGGAGTAAATGTCCTCCTTCATTACAATAGCTTAAGATGAAGAAAAAGATACAAAATACTATTTAGGGACACCTGGGTGGCTCAGCGGTTGAGTGTCTGCTTTCAGCTCAGGGTGTGATGCCAGGGTCGGGGATCGAGTCCCAAGTTCTACATGGAGCTCCCTCAGGGAGCCTGCTTCTCCTTCTGCCTACGTCTCTGCCTCTCTCTCTCTCTCGTGAGTAAATAATAAATCTTTAAAAAAATTAAAAAAGGGATCCCTGGGTGGCGCAGCAGTTTGGCGCCTGCCTTTGGCCCAGGGTGCGATTCTGGAGACCCCGGATCGAATCCCACGTCGGGCTCCCGGTGCATGGAGCCTGCTTCTCCCTCTGCCTATGTCTCTGCCTCTCTCTCTCTCTCTGTGTGACTATCATAAAATAAATAAAAATTAAAAAAAAGATTTTAAAAATTAAAAAATAAATACTATCTAGACAAAGATGCTTCCATACCTACAATGGAACCACAATTAGCTGTGGCTATCAAGTGGGACCACCAAGTAATTGAAGATTTTAGCATTTTACTTTTATTTTTACTTTTTAAATATTTTATTTATTTATTCATGAGAGAGAGAGAGAGAGAGGCAGAGACACAGGCAGAGGGAGAAGTGGGCTCCATGCAGGGAGCCCGACGTGGGACTCGATCTCAGGACTCCAGGATCAGGCCCTGGGCCAAAGGTGGCGCTAAACCGCTGAGCCACCCGGGCCGCCCAGCATTTTACTTTTAGAAGAAAAGAAATCATAAGGTATTGGGATTATTAAAAAAGTATAAGTTAAAACAATATACTAAATTATACTAAAGTACAAATTAAAACAATACTAAAACCCTTAAAACCAAACTCAAGTGTCCTGAGATCACTGGATCTCCCTGCACTGTCTACATGTAAATTACTTATGTGGAAGATGAGATTGGGATCCAGTTGGCTTTACTATGCTCCATTCATGCCAATCTAATTTTGACTTCCAAAAGGGCTTTAACTAAGTCTTGTTCTTAGCTCTTATTTTAATTGAACATATAATCCATCATGACAGGGTAATCAATCCATCTTTTAGCACTGGAAGTCTTGCATCCTGGAACCCCCTCAATTCCAGGAACACTGGGATGGTCACTAGCTCATCTCCTTCATCTATCCCTTCTTCCCACACCCCTTTCCTTGATCCCTGTCATCATCCCAAATTGTAGGCAACTCCACAGTATAACTGCATGAGAAAAAAAAAACTGGGAACTTAAAGGAATAAAGAATACAGCTAGTAGACAGTAATCTTTCTTTTCTGAATCACGTAAATTTGTAGCAAATATTAAAGCATTCAGCGAAGCACTAAAACTAATAATCAATACTTGGCATCTAATAACGTGAATGTGTCACAGACTACACAGCATGCAAATTGTGTTAAAAACTTCCAGACCCAACATTCCAGGAAGCAGCAGGACTGCATGCTCTCCCTCTCCAGTCTGCTGATAATGCAAATGGACACCATTCACAGCCACTTTGGCAGAGGTTACCGAGGAGCTGAAAGAGAAAAATCCCATCCCCAAAGAAAAATTACTGAGCCGTACATACAAACACAGTATGACCAAACTGCTCTTTATATACCTGGGTCAGCTCCAATAACCTCCTTAGGCTTCTTGGATTACCTTGACTTGCGCTTGTTTTCTAAACCTAAAAGGGGACCTGACTAGACTGCAGATCTGAAGTGTGTCTTCATGTGTCAGTATCCTACAGCGCCAGCCCAGGGCTTACCCTACTAAAGTACTGAGAGTTGTTAAAATCAGTGACCAAACAGTCCCAAGGGCATATACCTGGTGAGCTGAAAGCTAGTGGTACCAAGGTACAGGCTGATGCAAGAACTTCCTACAAGGACACGCAAGGGTGAGCAACCATGGCACAGACCCTGGAGTCATCTGTCAGGCCCTTAGCACATGTAGGGGGACTACCTGGGGACCTTCAGCTGCATCGGCAGTGTTCGTAAGGGTGAGACTGGTCTCAGGAGTCTGCAGAGAAGGCCTTGGTCCCTAGGTAGTCCTTCAGGCATATGGCTTCTCATGTTCTCTGGCCAGCCACACAAGGGCTCATGGCAGGAATGCTGGTCTGTACTCATAGGGCCAGCCCAGTTCTTAACATGTGGAGATATCGGTGTTGATTGTTAAACAGGCAGGTCCATAAGCTTCCACCTTGTGAGCCCACTCTGTGCCGCTGACCCTCCTTGGCCCAACACCTCCCATGACAGTATCTAACTGGAGATGTTGGCACAGGAGACAGCCTTCAGCCAGGGCTTGTTCTGACTGATGCATGTACCATTACCAAGGGTACTGCTGATGAACCTCTCTGCTGCTCTTCCAGAAGCTCCAGGAGGACTCTGCAGGGCTTTATAGCTGTAGAGCATACACAAGGCTCCTGCATCAGGCTTTAACAATTTCCTAGGTGGCTTGGTGACACACGGAAGGGACATTTTGATATGCCAGGACAGGTACTGACTGGAAGGAAGCGTTCCTCTTCTCCCAGTAGAGTGTTAAGGAATTTAAATGAACTGCTGCCTCTTTCTCTTTACATACCATCAATCCCATCAATCTCTCTGAAATTACTCAAAATGGTTATTGAAATGAAGCATTTTTTAACAAATGAGGTCCTCTTTCCTCTTTTGGTTTCTTCCCATCACCATTTTCAAATGAGAATGAATGCTGAAGGCAGGGGCATCAAGTCTCAATACAATTTTTGCAAAAATGACAAGTGGGTGGTAATAAAGCCTGACATAACCATAAGCTCATTATCTAGAGAAATCATGAGGAGCAATAATAAAGCCCCTGAGCAAGGGTGGTGTCATACTGACACTACCAAGTTACTTATCAATGCCCTATTCTTCAGAGTCATTCATACTGGTAAGGGGACTCTGGGATCCAGATAAAAGCAAATAATACTCTAGTAATAAAGATTCTTTTCTGCAAACATTTATTGACGCATTTAATTTTGCCCACAACCTGGTAGGAGAAAAGACAAAGAGACAAGAGATTCGCTCTGCAAACCATTGCGGGGGCAGGTTATGGCTGAGGCCAGGAGCACAAGGGGCATGGCTAGAAGTGGTTACTAGCGGTTCTCACATTCACCACGCAGGAATGAGGCCGCACCGTAACTAGAGATGACCAGCATTTACTCGGCTCATGCTAGTAATAATGTACCTTTATTACACCTCGTGCCCTGAAGATTTCTGAGGAGCTCCCTTCCTTGCAGCATTCAAGGGACACGCCTGTAAGAATCATCTTGTGCAGCGAGGAGATTATGTACAAGAGGAACTCCACTCCCACAGCATCTTTCTCAATGTCCAACACTGGGTTTTTGTGGTTGGGTGTTGCTGACTCTGTCTGCTACCCTTCAGGGAGCAAAGGCATGGCCTTACATGGAGATGAATGAAAAAGTAGCATTTGGACTGAACTTCCAAAGAGGAATAAAATTTTGAAGAAAAATAATGTGGTGGGGAGGGTGTTTCTAGAAGGAGAAATAGCATGCATGATCAAAGGCCCGGGAGCAAGGGACATATGTGGGGACAAGCCAGTGTTTGGCCTGACAGGAGTGTGGGGGCAGAGGGTGGCAAAGGTTGGCAGACAAATGCCAGGAAGGGAGGAGGGGTTTGCAGCTAGGCTAAGGGGAAAGAAAATGTCCCTGGTGCCCTGTCATCAACGTCCTCTGTGTCACCACACCAGAGGTACCTGCTGCTGTCACATCGGCCTCCCACCTGGGATAAATGGGAGGTGGGAGGCCGAAAACCTTTTACCAATCTCCAGGTTGGGGAAAAAGGACAGACAAGTATTTAGGAACAAAAGTAAATCAAAACAAATCAAACACATGAAAACATTTTTATTAAGAAAAAGTCATTGAATGATTTATTTTCACATTAGCAGAAAAAGATCACAGAAATGAGTAATTTTTTTTCCAGCTTAGCAAGCGGCTCTTAGACACTAGTTCAGGCCTCATTTTGTTTGTTTGTTGAAAAGAAAATCAGGCTGCAGAGAGACCAGGATTTCAGTAGCCCTGAAACGTACATATTACTTGAACCCCAATCAAGATGCCAGATCTCCCAACCTCTCACACAGGAAAAGAGAGAAATCTTCAGGTAATTTAAAGACCAAAAATGACTCTTTCCTTTGGGATGTCAATCTGTCTTTACCGCCACTTTCTCCCTGCTTATAATCACTTTACTTCTCTAACCCACATGTTCTTAAAGCAGGTGTGCTCGTCAGAATCACCTGTGGAGAGTTAAAACTACATCTGCCTAGGACAATCCTCGGAGACTCAACGACTGGGGCAGTGCTTGCTTTCTTTTTCTTTCTCTCTCCCTTCCTTCCTTCTTTCTTTTTTCAAGTATGGAACGCTTCATGAATTTGCGTGTCACCCTTGTGCAGGGGCCATGCTAATCTTCTCTTTATTGTTCTGATCTTAGCATATGTGCTACTGAAACGAGCATGCTAGCATGTCCTTCCAAAAACATTAGAACTCTACTGTTCTATTCATTCATCCATACAGTTCCTGAACTTTGTTCTGGGCCCCCCGTGTAGCTTAGAAGCTGGTAGGAAAGACAGACAACTAAACCTGCGACCAGCAGGTATTATGCAGTTTGCCTTGTATTATGACAGAGAAGTTGGGAGGATGCAGGAGATCCTGGGGGTGCAGACCTTAGCTCCCCACACCTTAACCAACATCTACAAGGCTGTCTACTTGGCCCCTTTACAGGAGACCATTTCCTGCTGCCCACTCTCTCCATGCGAAGCTCAAACTTAGATTTGAATCATCTGGCAAACTTAAAATTCCAGATGCCGGGGATCCCTGGGTGGCTCAGTGGTTTAGCACCTGCCTTTGGCCCGGGGCGTGATTCTGGAGTCCTGGGATCGAGTCCCACGTCGGGCTCCTGGCATGGAGCCCACTTCTCCCTCCTCCTGTGTCTCTGTGCCCCCCCCCCATCATAAATAAATAAATAAATCTTAAAAAAAAAATTCCAGATGCCTAGGCTGCAAAATCTCTGGAGTGGGACACAGACATCTGTATTTTTTAAATTCTCCGAGAGATTCCAGGAGGCAACCAAAGTTGAGAACTACTGTCCTGAGTTAATTTCTTTAGAAGGGGTAAAAAAAAAAAAAGTCCTTCCTCTCTATTAAAAACAGCCTGTTGGAAGGCATGCTCACCCAGAAGGCCTATACCTTACTTCCAGTCCCTCTTTTGCTGGGAAGCCAGATAGGGAAGTTTGTGAAAGGAAAGGATGTCATAAGCAATACAAGGACAATAACGTCCTGATTGAACTGTTTGTTCCTTCAAGGAAGGGAAGTTTCCCTCCCCTGTGGCGGAAGGCAAGAATCTAACAGCTTGGGAAAATAAACTATCGTTTAGTTTTATTATAAGCTAAATAATGAATAATATTTTTTAAATTATTTATTTATGATAGTCACACACACACACACACAGAGAGAGAGAGAGAGAGAGAGAGAGAGAGAGAGAGGCGCAGAGACACAGGCAGAGGGAGAAGCAGGCTCCACGCACCGGGAGCCCGACGTGGGATTCGATCCCGGGTCTACAGGATCGCGCCCTGGGCCAAAGGCAGGCACTAAACCGCTGTGCCACCCAGGGGTTCCAATAATGAGTAACATTAAGAGCTTACTTACCTCATTTGTTTTGCTATTTATGGTCTCAAATCTGCAGAAGAATTCTACAAGGCTCTAGGCTCAAAGAGGTTCAATAACCTGGTTCACCTTTGTACGGCTACCTGAAGGCCACGCTATTAAACCAGAGGCTACGCTGTTACCTCATGGCTGAACAAAGTCTCTCCAATGGGGCTCTGGCCCTGGGGCCCTCCCTCACCCTGACCGCCAGACAGGAAGAGGGTGGAAGCAGGTGCCAGGGCAAGAAGGAAGGGTCTCTCTGATTCTCAAGCACAGCACCCCGAAGTTGAACTCAGAAAACGTTTTTCTTCTGGCAGGTTGTTAGGTTCTGTAAATTGTTAATACTGTAACTGTACTCAACATACAACTGCAGGCAGAAAAGGCTTTTAATTATTATTACTTATTAATTTTTACCTGGTCCTCAAACAAACCAGTTTACAGATTACGAAATAAGAGAGTTCCAGACCGCAGACTTAACCAAAGCTTATGGAACACAACTCATAAAGTGTGGTTTGGGTCCTGAGGCTCCGAAACAAACGTTTTTAAGGAGTGCTTTCTCCTACTTACACTGGGCTGCAGCCTCATTTCAGGATCAACCAGCAGCACCGCTGGTTTTCTCTGATATTACATATAGTATCAACTTGCAACTGCATTTATAAGACGGCAGTTTCAAAATCCGGAGGAAACGGCTTTTCAGAGATATTTTAGAAAGAATGATTTACGCTAAATGGACAGAGCCTTCCTGCAACCATTAAATAACTTATCTTAGACTTGCGTACTGGTACATAGTAACCTTACTTCAATCTCTTTCTGCAAACAGGAAACTGGAAAAACTGTCATTTTTCAATGCTGCTTTACACAGCCGTGAACAATGATGCATTTTCCCCCCCATCTGCACTAAAATAACCCTGAAAACCTAGAAGCTCTAAAATAATAAAGAACTTCAATATGAAAACTCAAGACTTGATTAGTCACAACATAAAGCTGAGCAGATTTCCCCTCCTCCTTCCCAATTACATTTTCAAACGAGAAGTCTCGAGTTAGAACTTCAGGTTCCCCCAGGTAGCACTGGACTTTTGCTGGTGATAAATGCAACCGATCCGTCAAAGGGCTGGCTGCATTCGCCGCCCAGGTAGGTCTGCGTGGCCCAGCACAGGTGTGCGCGCATGCGCAGGCTTCGCGCCGCTCGCACCGCGTTTTCCGCTGGATTTCTCTCGAGACCGAGGGGCGCCCGCTTTTCGGGCAGCAGGTCCCAGGCTAATCTAGTCGTCTCACCTCAAAGTGGACGTGGCGGTGGGGGATGGGGAGCCTGAAAAGGCAGATTCTTGTCTCCTCCAGCTGCAGAGAACCGGAGTCAGGCCAAGGGCCTGGAGTTTCCCCGGCTTCTGCAGGGGGTTCTTGGAGCATCAAAGTCCAAAACCAGCAGAAAAGGAGAGGGCGGCGCACGTCCGCGAGCCTGGGGCCCCGCAGGTGCGGAGGGTCCCCCCCCCCAGCCCCCGGGGGTCGAGTCAGACCCGGAGCCGGCTCCTGCGCCCAGGTCACGGCCCCCGCCCCCCCCCCCCCGGACCCCGCGCGCCTCTCGACGCGCACCTGGCCGCGCGGGCTCCCGGGGGCAGGGCGAACCATTACCCGAATGCGGCCGCCGGCCCGGCACGCAGCACCCGGCTCCCGGCCGTCAGCGCCGACAGGATCATCCGCAGCTGCCGCGACGCCCGGCGGTCCAGCACCGCAGCCATTGGCCTCGGAGTGCGCATGCGCCGCGCTCCAAGGAGCGCCCCGGGAGAACACGCCTGCGCCCCGCCCCGCCCCACACCGCGCTCCGGGCCCACTAGGAGGAGGCGCTAGGAACACGCAGGCGCGGAGAACCCGCTCCGCCGGGCGGCCGGAAACACGCATGCGCCGAGGGCCCGCTCCGGGGTGGGGGGGGAGGTGTGGGGAACGTGCATGCGCCGAGGACCCGCTCCGCCGGACAGCCTTAGAACACGTATGCGCTGAGGACCCGCTCCGCCGGGCGGCCGGGGAATACGCATGCGCCGCGGACCCGCTCCGCCGGACGGTCGGAGAACCCGCATGCGCCGATGACTCCCTCCGCCGGACGGCCGGGGAACACGCATGCGCCACGACTCGCTCCGCCGGACGGGGAACACGCATGCGCCACGACTCGCTCCGCCGGACGGCCGGGGAACACGCATGCGCCACGACTCGCTCTGCCGGACGGCCGGGGAACACGCATGCGCCACGACTCGCTCCGCCGGACGGTCGGAGAACCCGCATGCGCCGATGACTCCCTCCGCCGGACGGCCGGGGAACACGCATGCGCCACGACTCGCTCCGCCGGACGGCCGGGGAACACGCATGCGCCACGACTCGCTCCGCCGGACGGCCGGGGAACACGCATGCGCCAGGACCCGCTTCGCCGCCGTCTGAGTAACGTGTCCCGCGTCGGGCCTGGTCGGCGGGGCCGGTGGGCCGCACTGCCCGCCGCGCTGTCTCTGACCCTCGGCAGGAGCGGAGCTCGGGTCCCACGGTACTGCCCGCACGTCGTCGTCCCGCGGGGCGGCCCTGGCGCTCGAGGAGCACGTCAGTGTGCGGGCCCGCCCTTCGCCGCGCGACCCGCGCTTCGCGGCCTCCCAGGGGCGTCGGCGGCGGGGCGGGGCGGGGCGGGGCCGCGGGGCCTCCGGAAGCCCGGGACGCGGGAACGCGCTGACCGGCGCCGGCGGCCCCGCGGGGGGTAGAGGCCTCGGGGCCCGGACGCGGGGGGGGGGGGGAGGCGTCTGCGCAGGGGGCACGGCGCGTCCCTAGCCAGGATGGGGCTGCGACGCGCGGGACGGAGGCTGAGGCCCAGTGAGCACGAGGCACTGGGGCAGGTGCCGAGGTGCGGGGCAGGTGCCGCGTGCGGTGCGAGGCGCCTGGGAAGGCACGTGGAACGGGTGGAACAGGTGCACCGGGGGCCCGCGAGGGCGGGGGGCGGGGCGGGCAGTGCCCGGTGGGCCCGAGCTTCCGTCACGGAGGCGGAGGCGGACGCGGTGCGCGATGCGGCGCCGCTGAAGGCCAGCGAACTAAGCCTTGTTTGTATTGTACCAGAAGATGTGTTTTGAAGGTTTTATGTATTCGCTCATCGGAGACGCAGGCAGAGGGACCAGCAGGCTCCCCGCGGGGGCCCGAAGCGGGACTCGATTCCAGGACCCCCAGGTCACGCCCTGGGTGGAAGGCAGATGCTCCACCGCTGAGCCCCCCCCCCGCCCCCCCGGGTGTCTCCGAATCTCAGCTTATTTAGATCATATAATTCAAATAATTCAAGCTTTTTAAAGGTTATAAGCATTACCTGCAACGGACACTTCCGTGGAGGAAAAAACAACATCCCTGTAATTCTGGCCACCACTCTGCCTTGACTGCAAAGAACTGGCAGGTTCAAGGCTACTGTTTAGCCCCGGCTAGAATTATTCAGGATGGCAACAGCTTCCTTGCATATTGCATTGTTTCTCCTCCTTGAACCACCCCCCCTTTTTTTTAAGATTTTATTTATTCACGAGACACAGAGCGGCAGAGAAGCAGGCTCCATGCAGGGAGCCCGACGCGGGGCTTGATCCCAGATCTCCAGGATCAGGCCCTGGGCTGAAGGCGGCGCTAACCGCTGAGCAACCCGGCTGCCCGAATCCCTCCTATTGTAATGGTCTTATATACACAATATTTTTCAGTGTTAACAGCCATGGAAAGTTCTGATACCTGTAGTGTTCTCACTGGCCATTTGAGTTTTTTTCTTTCTAAGGCTGGCCTAAAAATGGATTATGCAAAAATATTCCTTCAACATAAATGTGTCACATCAATTTCCCCCGCATAGAAGGAAAGAGAAATACATTTCAGCTGACTACTGTCATCTGACTTTCAGAAACCTTTGGTAGATCAACATTTCCTTATTTTTTTTTTCCTGAGCCGCTGTTTTGGGATTTCTTGTCAGAGATCACTGAAAGTAAAAATAATTGTACAATTTTAACATGTTAAACCGTAGCACTTGTGGGGCTCTAGGTGATTGGTGTCACAATGTATTAAATGCACACTGGACAACTAGTCCTTACTGTGTAACACTGTTGCACAGCTTTAAATCTTGGCCATATAGACACCTAGTGTCCTGCTTTGTAAATTTTATTTATTCATAGACACCCAGAGGGAGAAGCAGGCTCCATGCACGGAGCCCGACGTGGGACTGGATCCCCAGACCCCAGGATCAGGCACTGAACTGAATGAACGCAGCGCTGAACTGCTGAGCCACCCAGGCTGCCCTCTGCTTTGTCTTTTTGGTTTGGTTTGGTTTTCTTGACCTCAGTCCTTTGCAGTGAAATTGCACAGTAACCCTGCTGATTGCAATGGGTAAAAAGCATCAGTCTTTCACTTCTTAGTTCTATAACAGTAACACCTGATGAGTTAAATTTAAAATTTAACCACGATGTTGTATTACATTGTTTTGGCAGTTAGAAATTTTTATCCTACAACAGATGTGACTAAAAGAATTGATCTTGTTGACATGGTTACCCTCTTATAGAAAGAAATCAAGAGTATCATCTATCAGTGTACGTTCTGGCAAGGGAGCTTTCACCATAAAATCAGGTTGAGCTTTTTTCCATTGTTAGGTCACAGCCTGTTTCTGATGCAAGACATTTTTATCTGCAAATTGTTAGGTCGTCTGTCTTAGGAAACACCTAGTTTTATTATAAAAAGAAAACCTTTATAAAAAACATACCTTAAAATGTACATCAAAATACTACTTAACATTTTCAGGGCAGCGCGGGTGGCTCAGCGGTTTAGCCCCCTCCTTCAGCCTAGGGCGTGATCCTGGAGACCCGGGATCGAGTCCCACGTCCGGCTCCCTGCATGGAGCCTGCTTCTCCCTCTGCCTATGTCTCTGCCTCTCTGTGTCATAAATAAAATCTTAAAATTTTTTTTTTCTGAGAAAGAACAAACTATTTTTGAAGACCTAACTTCATACGATGGACCCCAAACAAATATTGTAACCACAGCAACAAGTGGAAAATTGCTGATTTCACAAGGCTTTGAGGGTTGGAAGTGGGTGTTCTTTACCAGAAGAAACCTTGCAGTCTGAGTAAGTTTTTTGGAACCAAATATGGATAATCATCTTTCTCATTATAGTCTGTGTCCTCTCACTTGATTAATTTTCTGCCCAATTGATTCTCTTGTATTGAAACTCTTCAGACACAAATTTGACTCTTTTCAGCCCAGTTTTTAGAGAATGGGGGCTGAAGGAAAGACTTTGGAACCATGTTTAAGGACAGATTGGCTGCAGGCTCTCAAGCAGCGTGTTTTCATCCTGAGAGCCAGAAACCTGTCCAGAAGCTTCTCTTTTTACCATCAGCTTCCTCTTGCCTGCTAAAGGCAGGAGGGTGTAAAGGGCAGTATATATAGGAAATGCCAACCTCAGTGAAGAAGCCCAAATGGTCTCATTTATATAAACACATCATTTCAATTGTTTATATTTGAGGTACAAAATTTTATTTTGAAAAGTCCATTAAAAATACCTTTCATTTTTGGCTTTAACATTGATCAATTTCTTTGGAATTAGAAAATTGAAACACTGTTAGGAGAGAGGTACAAGGGGTATGTTTAGAAAAGCAATCATCCATCCATTCCTCTAGCAAAGCCTGGGACTCTTTCCCCATCCGACTTTTCTTCTGGTCTGTGTGGTCTAATGCTATGTTATGTGGAAACTAAGTGGGCCTGGATATGTGTGTGGATAAGAGACTGGGGTTCGTTCCTTTGTAGCAGTGCTCTTCTCGACTGGGGCAGCTCTGTCCTTCCAGGGAACATCTGGCAATGTCTCCAGACATTTCGGCTTGTCTAGTAGGTAGAGGATGCTTTCACACGGCCAGATCCTACCCTGCACGGGACAGCCCCCACAACAAAGAATAACCTGGCCCAAGATGCCAGTAAGTGCAGAAGTTGAGAAGTTGTTTTCCAGTCCCAACACTTCAGGTGTGTGTGTCTATCAGCTGTGGCTAGGGGATTTTAGAATCGGAACCGCAACATTGTTCTCAGCCCACCAGACCCTAGAATCTGTTCTGATATCCAGAGTCACCAGACTGCATCCTGCGCTCCCTCCCTCCTGGACAGGCTGAGCACAATGACACGCTCTCGGGTTAGCCAAGCGCAGGCAGGGATACTGGATGGCCTGCCCGCCTCAGTCTTCTAGTCTTCAGGTTCCTTTCACACATTCAAGTTTCAGGTGGGCTTTGAGAGGTCGAGTGTTAGAAGCACAATTATCAACCTTTGAAGCATTTTTTTTTTTTTTTTTTTTTTTTTTTTTTACATTACAGCTCACAGAAAAAAAAACGAAATACTTCTACAGTATCCTGGGGTAACCTGAGGAAGCTGCTCAGTAGTGACCAGTCCTGAGGCTCCAGTCACAGCCAGGTGTGAAGAGATCAAAATTCCCTGCATCCATGCTCCCTCTGCAGGGCACAGAGGTTGGGAAAGTACATAAAGTATCAGAATGCTAGGAAAGAACTTAAAAACTTCATCAAGAATTTCTGTCATCACCACAGTTAGTAACCATTCCTTATAACAACTGCCTGGAAAATTCTAGTATTTTTGTTCTCTATTTTTTTTTTTTCCATCTTAGTATTCCTTAATATTCCTCCAGTTAGTTACTTTTTTTGGAGTGGAGACTGCATGTAATTCTTGAAGCCTGTAGTGACTGACACAACATTTGATACTGAAGTTAACAGACATTATAGTTTCAGAGAAAACCATGGTTAGAATACAAAAAAAAAAAAAAACCTATTTGAAGAGAACTTAAAATTTCACTGTACTCGTGAAGAGAGTGTAAAATAAGAAAGTTGACTTAGTTTATGTCCTCTGAATTTTTTTCTTACTCTAGCAAAACTCCAGTAAGTTAAATGAATGGCATCAGTGAATGCTGAGGAACGAACTGAAAGAAAATGATCTTCCTCAAATATCTCTCTCCCCTTCAAAACCCAGTTAGGCTTCTTTTTGGACTTGGCCTCAGACATTAATAGGTCTTCCTGGTTAGTAGGCGGTTTGCTGTAGGCTTCTTTCCCATTCTCCACCTACGGAATGCAGGAGATTTTTATGCAGACCCAGAACCTGTATTAGTGAGGGAAGAATTCTGAAGGATCAGAGGCAGCATGCTTTCAGTGGGTGACTTACTAGGCGAGGAGAATACCCCATGCTGCCCAAGCCCCTTCTCGAGTTAGTTCTGGCTGATGTGTATCAAATAGTTCAAAAGGTCTATTCTTGAGCACTGGTAGAGCGCATAGGCCAGCTTTCCGACCGTGGCCCCTTTATTGCCTTCCCTCATCAGCCACTTTTGGAGCATCTGGTAAACCTTTTCTTTGAGTCCATCTCGCTCATAGTCATGGTCAATCTCATCAATCTGAGGTTCAGTGAAGCCCAGTTTGCGGGCACAGTTTTTCCATTGCTTTCCCAGATTTTCCCTGACTGGGTCCAGATGTTTATCAGTCAGACTAGTGACATTATCTGCCAGACAAAAGATAAGAAGGCATCAAACTATAACTCATTTGAACATTCTGGTTTTAAAAACCTGTAGAGACAGTATCAGGAGACGGTAAAGAAAAAAAAAAAAACTTCATTACATAGTTGTGGACTCATTCCTTAGGGGATCCTTTACATGTCTGGAAGCCCATGTGCAGTGTGTATATGAATACAGCAGAGAACCTCTACCTCCTAGCAGATGCATCTCTGAGCCACAGCTGGTGGCTTTGGGAATACAAGCTCTGCTTGGCTTCTAGGCTGTCCTCTATGACCTTAGCCAATGGCCCTGTTAATTTCAGACCTTCCTGATAAAAAGAGGGAAAATACTATTTTTGTTCCTTTTGGCATCATCTACATACCTGGCCAGAATCAGGGTCATTCAACTCCTGATCCCCTGCACCCAATGGTCTGCTTTCCTCTTACTTAGGGAAACTGAGGCCATCAAGTGTGAACTCATGCAATTATAATGCATATTATAATATGTCCCTTGTCTTTTAAAGAATGAGGTATCTACTTTTCCAGGTCTATTTTGGGACTCAACTCTCCTCTAAGTGCCGTCTTCTCTTCTCTTACAGCCACAGCCTCCCTTTCTAACTGGTTCCTTCCTCTCTGGCCTTCATAAAAATAACAAAAGGAGCCGCTATCCTGGTTGCCTGTGGTTGACTGTTATCGCCATGTCTTCTCACAAGACTTTCAGAATCAAGCGATTCCTGGCCAAGAAACAAAAGCAGAATCGTCCCATTCCCCAGTGGATTCGGATGAAAACTGGTAATAAAATCAGGTACAACTCCAAGAGGCGGCACTGGAGAAGAACCAAGCTGGGTCTATGAGGAAGCATCCATCGCACATCATGAAATAGCAAATATAATTGGCACACATATTTAAGCTGCATGGAGATCACATGTTCCTATCCTGTCAATATGGAAACACCCTTCCTACCTGGCCAATAGACATGTCTTATTAAGGAAATGTTCTTGTCTGTTCCTATGCCTCTATACCAGTAGGCTGGTTCAGTAATAAATGCGAGATCTTTCAGCTGAGCTGCTGTTGTGTTTTGATTTGTGAAGTACCGAAATCCCCCTCCTGTCAGATCTCACATAGCACTGTCTGATAGAACTTTCTGCAGTGATAGAAATGGCCCTTGACAACCAAGTATTTAAAGTACGGCTAGGGGACGCCTGTGTGGCTCTGCTAAGCGTCTGCCTTTGGCTCAGGTCTTGGCAGGGAGACTGCATGTCTGCCCCTCCCCCTGCTCAGGTGCTCTCTCTCAAATAAATAAATCTTTTTTTTTTTTTCCTAAAGATTTTATTTATTCATGAGAGAGACAGAAAGGCAGAGACACAGGCAGAGGGAGAAGCAGGCCCCATGCAGGGAGTCCGAATCGATCCCGGGACTCCAGGGTCACACCCTGGGCTGAAGGCAGGCGCTAAACCACTGAGCCACCCAGGGATCCCAAATAAAATCTTTAAAAAAAAAAATAACAAAAGGAAACTAAAGTATAAAACTACCATCACCACCACACACATTTTCCTTGATCTTCAACCTACCTCAATAAGCTGAATATAAGGAAAAAGACATCTCATTTCCGCCCCCCCCCCAACTCCCATCCTCTCCTTAGCTCCCCACAATGCAGCCTCTGTTATCACCAAAGGACATCAGCAGTCCAAAAACCTTCCAAGATATTAGCCTAGTTTTGTGAGTTCCTCTGGGAGAGGGACCCTGGGTTTCATCAGATCCTCCAAGGTACTTTTGTCACCCCAAAAGTTAGGAACCTCCTCTCTAAGAATGTTAAAGACTATTTTTCAAATGGATTAGGCCAGGGATTGGCAAACTATGGCCTGTGGGTCACATCTGGCCGGCTGCCTCTTTTTGTTAAGTGAAGTTTTATTGGAACACAGCCACGCCCATTCATGTACATCTTGTCTGTGGCTGCTATTGCATTACAATGTCAGGTAGGTGCAACAGAGATCTCAGGGCCAGTGAAGCTAAAATAATTTCTATCTGGCCCTTGATAGAAACATTTTGCCAATCCTAGAGTTAAACATAAAGCTGGGCTCTTAAATCCCATTGATTTGGCCTCATGACTATGATTCCCAGGTTGTGTTTTGGGATTAATGTTTTGAGCCTGCACAGTTAAAACCCCATAAGAGAAAGCTCTCTTGTTTTTATTACAGGGGTGCTGTTGAGGGCATAGTCTTCTATTTTTTCAGAATCACTTTTGATGAAGACCTGAGGGAGATACCTCTCCTAGGTCTGAATAGTGATACTGATACTGATGATATGTTCAGTACTTTCACAGATCTTAACTACATGCCAGGCAGTGTTCTACACTCTTTATACATATTGATGATAATTTTCACAACAAATCCATGAGTTAGATATTGTAATTATCCCCATATTAAGCATTAATAAATCACAACGGATTATATCGAAGTTACAGAGATATTTTACAGAGAAAACATGGGTCAACTGTCAGGGAGAATAATCAGAGAAATTTCAGGATTCCACTATATCCCTCTAAGCAATAAAGTTCAAGGTTGCTAGAAAATGGGTCCTTAAAGGGCATCTTACCAAAGATATCTTGGTACTTATAAGCTGGCTCTTCTTTCACGTTCATGTCCAGTAGGGCTGAACTCATTCCACCAACCTCCATATAATTATGCTCTCCAACCTGAATGCCAGAACTGTTGTATATGGTACATTTTACAGACTCATCTGAATAGAGTGAAACACACAGGTAAGTAAATCTAGGTTGAAAGCAAGAGAAATAAATACAACATGGTAAAGGACAGGGCTTTATTCTAAATATAGAAGTTAAATTATTTATCCTATGACAGTCTTTGAAATTTTCCTCTTCAAAATGTAGCTGAACTAACCTTACATCCACCAAAATGGCTACTATAAAAAAAAAAAAAAGTAACAGTGTTGGCAAGGATGTGGATGAACTGGAACCAAGGTGTGCTGCTGGCGGGAATACAAAATGGTGTGATAAATATGAAGATCTCTCAAAAATTAAAAATAGACTTACTCTAAGATGTAGCAATTCCATTTACGGGTATTTACCCAAAGGAACTGAAAGCAAGGCCCCAAACAGATATTTATATAGCCATGTTTACAGCAGCATTATCCACAACATCCAAAAGGTGGAAGTCACTCAGGGTCCACCAACAGATGAACAGATACACAAAATGTGTTATGTATGGACAATGGAATATTATTCAGCCTTAAAAAAGGAAGGAAATCCTGACACATGCTACAATATAGGCAAACCTTGAGGACATTGTGTTCAGTGAAATAAGCCAGTCACAAAAGGACAAAGACTGTATGATTCCACATATATCAAATACCCTAGAGCAGTCAAATTCATAGAGACAGAAAGAATGGTGGTTGCCAGGGGCTGGGGGTAGGGGAATGGGAAGTTAGTGTCTGATGAGTACAGAGTGTCAGTTTGGGAAGATGAAAAGAGTTCCAGAGATAAATGGTGGTGATGGTAGCCCAACACTATGGTTTCCTCACTAATGCAGTCTTTGGCCTATATAAGGTAAGAATTAAAATATCCAAGACTTCTTTCTTACCTTCAGAAAATAGCAAGCAAGTAAAAGAACACAAACCCGTCAGCGATAGGGTATAATGGGACCACTGTGATGCAGATTAAAGCAGAAGATACCCACTAGTTACAAGGACCTGTAACCCAACACCTGTGGGCAGCTGCAACGAATCATACTCAAACCAAAGCCAAGTGGTCTGATGGAGACTAGTCCATGGCTGCAAACTGCATGTGGCAGCTGAAGACTACAAACAACTCACCCTTGTAACCTTAGAGTCTACATCAGAGCTAATAGCTGCTTTATTTTCAGAAACATTTAAAAAAGATTATAGCTAAAAAGAACTGTTTACCTCTTGATGGGAAGGAGCTGAATGGAATGGTGGGCGTGTTTCCCAGTAGGTTGGTCTCCGGCACTGGAGTTTTATTCACGCTTGGGATATGGCTTGGATTTGGCTGATACCAGACTCTTGAACCTGTTGTTCCCAGCGCCAGTGGTCTTGTTCTAAATTTGAATGGACTGTACAATTCATTGTTCCAGTACCTTACTGGGGGTTGGCTGGTTAGCCCCGTTGGCTGGTGTACTGCATTACCAGGACTGGTTGCAATAGAATAAGGAAGGCCTTTTACTCCTGGGTTCTGAATGTTTTCATAAGGTCTCTGCTGTGCAAAAGGGTCATGGGAGACCCTTCGTCTCCTTTCCTCCTCTCTATTATAAGCCACACTCTGTCTGAGCGGTTTCGTCTGCCTGTCCATGCGGCTGCCATAAAGATGGTAGTTGGCTTCCTCCTGGAGTTTACTCTGCAAGCTGAGCTGGTTCTCATCCTGCTGGTTCTCCAGGGAGGGAGCAAACCAGGACTCTTCCACGGGACCTATCCCCAGTCCCTGGGAACTGTGCAGCGAACTGGGCTGTTCTGGGGCTGAGGAGAAATGATCAATATTGGAAAGAGTTTCAGACAGCAACAAGAAATAAAATAAAACCTGAGCACCGCCACATATCTGTGTCTCAGAATAACATACTGAAACATTCGCAAGCAAATAAAAAAAGCATTGACTTTATGGTCCTCTTCCTACAAATATGTAAGTACTTTGTGGAAGCCCCTGCAGGGTGGTGAGAGAGCACTAGAGAAATGTTAACAGGCAACGGCAACATGAGTGTCACAGGAATGACCAAGGGAGAAAGGGACTGGTCTTTAGTAGAGAAGGTGGCTGTGTCCTTGGTGTGGTGCAGGGCTGGAAAATAAGACCTGGAGCAGCTTGGTGCTAAGCACTCTCCATGGATTCTTTTATTCTCTAAAAGCCCTGTAAGAATAGGAGCAATTATATTATGATCTGAGGGATGAGGTTTACAAGAGGTTAATTTGCCCTAGAACAGATAACTAGTAAGTGGCTTCAATATCCTATACTTTACTCTGTTTTTCCTTTTGTGAAAATGAAAAAATATCCCTCCTTGATTCCAAGACCAACCTCTCTGCTAATTCTCTGGATATCATCCCTGACATCAAGGACCTTGCTTCCACATATGTCTCCTCTTTTTCCTGAGCCCTTACACTCTATCAGATATATATTAGGCCTCTTATGTTCAGGATATTTTATGATTTTAGTGAACACCCTGTTACTATTTCAAATATATGTTATCTTCATTCTAAATATATTATAGATTCCTTTAAGGCAAGAGTTAAATTTTATAGCTTCTTCTGTTTCTTATATGTTCATGAAGAGTATTTTTGAGAACAGAGTGAATGCACGAACAAACAAGTGAATACGTTATTTTCAATCATAGTATGTTACCTGAATTTGACCTGCTTGGAGGTGTTGCTACACAGTCAATCTGGAGAGACTGCATTCTCTTCACAACTGAATTTTGGGCTGGGTCTGGATACTCTTTCTATAATTGACAGCATAAATGTACACTTTAGTAAACAGTAGAAAATAGTTCCAAAAATTTATTATAGAAAAATGAAATCTTTTCAAAAGGTAGAGATTTCATATAGCTCTTACAAGGAATAAATCTTTTTTCCCCAAATAGCCAAAACAATCCTGAAAAATAAGAATAAATTTGGAGGGTTCACACTTCTTGATTTCAAAACTCACTACAAGATTACAGTAATCAAAACAGTGTGGTATTGCTCTAAGGACAGGCATAGACCAATGAAAGATAGAGAACCCAGAAATAAACCCTTACATGGCGAACTGATTTTCAACAAGGGTGCCAAGACCATGCAATGGGGGAACACTGGATACAAACCTAAAAGAATGAAGTTGGACCCTTACTTTTATTATATACAAAAATTAACTCACATGGACCCAAACACTGAAGCTTAAGTGCTCAAACCATATAAACATTAGAAGAAAACATAGGGGTAAAGATTCACGACATTCAATTTGATAGTAATTTCTTAGATATGACACCAATAACACAGGTAACAAAATAAAAATAAATAAATTGGAGTACATCTAAATTAAAGCCTCTGTGCATCAAAGGACACTATTAACAGAGTGAAAAGATAACCCAGAGAATAGGAAAAAAATATTGGCAAATCATATCTCTGATAAGAGATGACTATCCAGATTATATAAAGAATTTGCATAATTCAACGATAAGGCACAAACAACTCAATTCAAAAAGGGCCAAAGGGCCATTTCTCTAAAGAAAATATACAAATGGTACATGAAAAGGTGCTCAACATCATTGGGAAAATATCCTTCAAAACCACCATGTGTTATACATGACATCACACTCTAGATGGCTATCATTTAAAAAACAAAACAAACAAAACCCTGAAAATGAAAAATGTTGTTGAGAATGTAGAGAAATTGGAACCCAGAAATGTAAAATGGTAGCACCCTTATGGAAAACAATTTGATAGTTCCTCAAAATTTAATGTAGTATCATCATACAATGTAGCAATTCCACTCTTGTGTATGTACCCAAAAGAATTGAGAGGAGCTCAAAAAAAATTGTACATCAATGTTCACAGATAAAAGGTGGAAACAACTCAGTATCCATCACAGTTGAATTAACTAATAATCAAACTGTGATATACACAGAAAATGGAGAATTACTCAGCCTTAAAAAGGAACGAAGCTCTTAAAACATGTTACAACATGGATGAACCTATAAAACATTATGCTGAGTGAAATATGGCAGACCACAAAAAAATGAATATTGTTTGATTCCCCATGTCTGCAAGGTACCTAGAGGCAAATTCATAGAAAGTGGAATTACACGTTACCAGGAACTGGGAAGAGGAATGGGGAACAGTTGTTTAATGGGCACAGAGTTTCTGTTTGGAATATTTAAAAATGGAAATGGACACTAAGTGATGTTTGTACAGCACTGTGAGTGTACTTAATGCTACTGAATTCTACACTGAAAGATGGGTAAGATGGTGGGGCAGCTGAGGGGTGCAGTTGCTTAAGCATAAGACTCCTGGTATTGGCTCAGGTCGTGATCTCTGGGTCATGAGATGGAGCCCTGGGTCAGGCTCTGCCGTCAGCCTGGAGTCAGCTTAAGACTCTCTCTCTCTCTCCCCCTTTCCCCTCTTCCCCCATGCACATATGCATGTACGCTCTCTCTCTAAAATAAATAAGTAAATCTTTTAAAAAAAAAGGTAAGATGGTAAATTTTATGTTATGTGTATTCTACCAAAATAAAAAAAAAGGAAAAAGAAACTCTTTTTTGCTATAAAAGTGATACCACTCATTATTGAAAATATAGAAAATGTACAGAATTATATTTAAAACCTACACATTCTGCCTTCACTCCAAGGACAAAATTAACATTTTGGTATTTCCTTTAAGTTTTTTTTTTTTTTAATTTATGATAGTCAGAGAGAGAGAGAGAGAGAGAGAGAGGCAGAGACACAGGCAGAGGGAGAAGCAGGCTCCATGCACCGGGAGCCCGACGTGGGATTCGATCCTGGGTCTCCAGGATCACGCCCTGGGCCAAAGGCAGGCGCCAAACCGCTGCACCACCCAGGGATCCTCCTTTAAGTTTTTTTCTTAGTCACATTTGCATTTTGTTTTAATATGTAGTGCTTTTGTTAGTCTTCAGTTTAAATTTTTTCTAAATTCCATTGTGATTCCTTTTTAATCCACAGGCTATTTAAAAATATATTTCTTAACTACTAACCACATGAGAGTTTTAAATTTTAAGATTAATTTCTAGCATAACTGAAATGTTAATCAGAGAAAATTCTTAATATGATTATAATCCTTTTAAAATTGGTTGAGAACTGTTTTATTTCCCAGGACACAGTCAATTTTAAAGTATGTCTGTATGTGCTTGAAAAGCCTATTGTAGTTATTAAATGCAGTGTTTTATATATTTCCAGTCAAATGTTAATCATGTTCTTCAAATTTTCTATATCCTTACTGATTTTTTTTGTCTATTTGTTCTGTCAGTTAAAGAGAAATTTGTATATTAAAATCTCCAACTATGATTCTGAATTTGTCTTTTGCTCCTTTGAGTTTTATCAAGTTTTGTTTTGATATTGAGACCATGTTATTAAGGGCATGCACATATTTAAAGCTGTTATTATCTTCCTGGTGAGTTGAACTTTTTATAGTTATGAAATATTTCTGATTATTGTGACTTAACCCTAGTGACTCTCTTTCCTGACGTTCTTTTGATGCCCAAGCATGGTTTCCATTGGATACCTTTCCTTTTATAGTGTAGGTATCCCTCAGAAGTCTGGTAATTCTCGCCTCTCCGTTTTTTTTTTTATCTTCATTTTGAAATCTCCATATGCCTGCCTGTTTTATTGACTGTCGTTCTTCCCCTCATGAATCTAGCAGCATGTTGTTGTACTTGTGCCAGCAGCTTGTTTCCTAAGTGTGTGTGTAGGGAAGGTCTTTGTCTTGGCTACTTGGCTGGTAATAACCTTTGATATACTTCTAGACCCCAGACCAAATTCACTGTTTCAGGTTGAGGAAGATGCTGCTCCCATGTGTTGCACAGCATTAGGGACTCAGAGGGAGGAGCCAACTTTTGTAACTGGCACAAGCATGGTTCCCAAGTGACAGTCTTACACCAATGCCCCAGCTGACCATGCTGTTTCTTCTACAAATGGACATAGACTTGTTTCTCCAGTACTCCTTCAACATTATGTTTTGGGTTAGCATTTTCTTTTTCTGTTATAGGTCTTAGGAAATAAAATTCTGTTGGCTTCCAAGAATTCCTCAAAATGACTGATCTTCCTATGGTACTTTCCGTTCTACTCCAGTGAGGTTGTGCTTTTGTTTCCACATTGCCATATATATAATTTCTCTCATTTCATTAGTGTTGATGGAGGAATGGGTACAGTGTGCCAACTGGATGGTTATCTGTATAGAATTGCTAATTTTGTTTCATGTGGTTACCAAGCTAGCTTACCTCAAATCTTAGTAACAAATTATATTGCTTTGGTTTTCAAAACTGGTAATACATATGCTTTGATATGTTAATGTTTTGAGTACCTGCTACGTTACCTACTTTTAAACTTGTCACATCTTCTTCTACATTTTCTTCTAATTGATCTTCATAAAAAGGCCTAAATTTTTCTTCAATGCCTATGTAAAAAAAAATAGTACTTTAAATTTCTTAGGTATTTTCTAAACTAAAATTTAAATACTAGTAATCTATTATTTTTTAATTACTTACCTTAATCTGTGGACAAAGCAGTAAAATAAAAATTTTAATGCCAAATCACTGACTTATATGAAGAGACTAATAAGACTAATAACTAAGTAGACAGACGAAGGGACAAGGCAACACTGGAAACCAAGAGATATTGCCTAACAGCATGTTTCTCCAACTGCAGCAGAAAGCCCAATTTATTATGAATTAATCTCCAACTGAATAGGGATGGACAACTCCTTGTTTTGGTCTCTCTGGTATCAAAATTATTATAGGCTAGAACACTCAGAATAGGGATTTGATATAAAGAGTTCAAAGCTGCTAGCCTTAAAAGAAAAAGGCAACTTCCACTTTCAAGAAGATGGAGTAGACATACCTTTCCTTATTTCTCCCTCTAAGCACAAGAACCCCTATAAAATCACACATAAAACAAACATAAAAAGAGCATGAAAGGAGGAAAGACAAAGACAGACAAACTAGGGACTCTGGGATCTGAGGAGACATGGCGATGAGTTCACTAGGATTTCTTTTTGCCTCTTAGATCCCAGACTTGCACTTAAGGAAGCTGGCAACGGAACAACAACAACCACAAAATCCTAACAAAAGCCTGCTTTTTCTAGCCAAAGGACTAAGCAAAGGGTAGCCTAGCAAGACAAAAGACTTTTAGTCAATAACCACTCTCCAGCCAAACATCACAAAAAACACTGTGGCTCCACCCCCAACCTTACCAGCAAAGGCCAAGTAGGGAGCTAAGATTTCCAACCTCATGAGACAGGAACAGGTTACTTCAAAACCCCCAGCACGGTGATGTCAGAGAGGGCCAATAGGAAGTCCTTTCCTCCTCCTGGTCCATTCCTAAACATGTGGCCTCCATGTGGGTGCTAGGGGCATGGGAAAAACCACTGCTGTACCTTCCTTCCTGCCAGATGGTAATAAGCCTCTCTACTCTGTGGTTTCAATGGACTATGAAGGTAGACTACACTTGCACTCTTACTTTGTAATAATAAGGTGCTCCTACCCATTCCAACGGAGAAGTGTCAGAAGCCTAGTGGGAGTCAGAACTTTCGCCTCCATTGCAGTGTCCATGGACTTCACTGGAACTTCCACCCTGACCAGGACAAACAAGGAACGCCCCCCCCCTCAGGTGTACTAGACTCCCCTCTACCTGTCATGAACAAGGTGGCAGCTACTCTTCCACTGCCAAATCCATGTCAAAAAAAGGACAGCTAATGTAGAAGGATTGAAGAATACCCAAAAACTCCTAGCATTGTAAAAAAAAAAAAAAAAAATGTGCAAATTTCAAGAGAAAAATCACTCACCAGCCAAAGAACTGGAAGATTTAAAACTGAAAGAAAAAAGATAATTGATACCAGAAATATTAGAACTAGCTGTTTAAAGATTTTTAAACAGCCATGATACAAATGCTTCAATAAGCAATTACAAACAAGCTTAAAACAAATGAGAAAACAGAAAGCCTCAACAAAGAAACATAAGATAAAAAAGAAAGTTCAATAAAATTTTTGAACTGAAAAATATAATAAACCAAAGTAGATGAGTTCAACAGCAGAATAAAGGAGACATAGGAAAGTCAGTAGACTTAAAGACAGAATGATAGAAATAACCCAATCTGATCAAGAGAGAGAAAATAAACAAACAAACAAAAAAAACGTAGAGGGCAGCCCAGGTGGCTCAGGGGTTTAGCGCCACCTACAGCCCGGGGCGTGATCCTGGAGACCCAGGATCGAGTCCCACATCGGGCTCCCTGCATGGAGCCTGCTTCTCCCTCTGCCTGTGTCTCTGCCTCTCTCTCTCTCTTGATTAAATAAATAAAACCTTTTTTAAAAAAAGTGTAGAGACTCAGGGACAAGTGAAACTATAACAACAAAAGATCTACTATTTCTGTTATCTCAGTCTCAGACAGAGAGGAAAAAGAGAGCATGGATGAAAAAAGTACTCAAAGAGATAATGGCTGAAAGCTTCTCAAATGTGGCAAGGGACATACACCTATAGATTCAAAAATCAAAACAAAACTCAAATAGATAAACCCAAATTCATACCAAGACAAATAGTAAACCTCTGAAAGATAAAAAGTGAAAACAGCCAGAGAAAATACCTTACCTATATGTTAAAAAAAAAAAAAAAAAAAAAAGAATTTCTTAACTGAAACCATGGAGGCCAGAGTAAGTGGTACAGTATTTATTAAGTCTTGAAAGAAAAGAATTGTCAACCCAGAATCATACACCCAGCAAAAAATATCTTTTACAAATGAAGGTATGACCAAGACATTCTCAAATGAAGAAAATTATGATAATCTGTTCCTAGCAGAGGCACCCTAAGAGAATGGCTAAAGGAAGTTCCTTAACGAGCAAGAATTGATAGAAGAAGATACCTTGGAACATCAGGAAGGAAGAAAGAACCCATGTGCTATAATTGAAAAATAAATATTTGTTCTTTTCCCCAGCTTCACTTAGTTCAAGACAGGGAGCTCCCCAGATCCCTGGGATCTCTCCTAAACGATAAAAATATCTTTTGTAATGTTAATGAAATAGCTCCAGGCTAGAGGGATGAGGAGGAGAAGCTAAATAGCTTCAGGATGAGGGATGGTCACCAGAAAGACCTAGCTATGATTACAGGGTTGAAGATTTCAGTACCACTCCCTGACCTCCAGAGACAGGAGGGAGACTAGAGATTGAGTTCAATCCCCAGATTACCTAATGAAGCCTCCATGAAAACCTCTAAACAATGGGGTTTGGGGAGCTTCCAGGTTAGTGAATACATTAAATGAGTAAATTGTTGGAAAAGTAGCATGTCCAGAGAGGGTATGAGAGCTCTGTGGCACATCGCTCCCACCAATAACTTACTTAATGAATCTCTTCCTTTGGCTCCTCCAGAGTTGTCCTTTATAATAAACCAGTAAACATAAATAAAATGGTTTCCTTAGTTCTATGAGTTGTTCCACTGTATTACTGAACCTTAACAGGGTATTATGAGATCCTTCAAATTTGTATTTGGTGGGCCAGAAGTGTAAGCAGCCTGGGCACCCTATCTCCATCTGGTGTCTAAAGTGGGAACAATTTTACAGCAGAGCTAAGCCCTTAAACCTGTGGAGTCTGACAATAACTCCAGGTAGTTAGTGTCAGAATTTAATTGAATTCTAGGACATCTAGTTGTGACACATTTGGTATCAGAAGTAGTATTACAAAAAACACCCCACAACACAGTAATCAAAAATATAGCTAAAGGGGCGTAGGTGGCTCAGCGGTTTAGCGCCACCTTTGGCCCAGATTGTGATCCTGGAGGCCCCGGATCTAGTCCCACATGGGGCTCCCTGCAGGGAGCCTGCTTCTCCCTCTGTCTGTGTCTCTGCCTCTCTCTCTCTCTCTCTCTCTCTCTGTGTGTGTGTCTCATGAATAAATAAAATCATATATATATATTAGTATATATATATATAGCTAAATAAATAGGCTTTCTTTCTCCTTTTGAAAAGTTTTCTAAACTATGATTGACAGGTGAAGCAAAACTGTAACAATGTCAATGTATTCTAAATACATGTAGAGGAAATATTTAAGGCAATTATACACAAAGGAAAGTAAAGGGAAGTAAACAAAGTAAAGTTTTTCTATTTCATTCAAACCGATACAATAACATCAGTATGCTGTGATAAATTGTGTACAAATAAAGTAAAACCTAAAGCATCCACTGGAAAAACTATCCTCAAAGATACTATCAATTAATTCAGGGGCCTGGGTAACTCAGTTGGTTAAGTATCCAATTCTTCATTTCAGCTCAGATCATGATCTCAGAGTTATAAGATCAAGCCCTATATTGAGCTCTGCACTGGGACATGAAGCCTGCCTCTCTTCCTGTGCTCCTCCTCTGCTCTTGCATGTGTGTACTCTCTATTAAAAAAAAGAAAAAGAAAAGAAAGGAAAGAAAGAAAGAAAGAAAGAAAGAAAGAAAGAAAGAAAGAAAGAAAGAGAAAGAAAGAAAGAAAGAAAGAAAGAAAGAAAGAAAGAAAGAAAGAAAGAAAGAAAATCAATAAATTTAAATGGGATTCTAAAAATGTTCAAAAATGAACAGGAAGGAAGCAAAAAGAAAATGGAGAAATAAAAAACGGAAAGAGTAAACAAAAAAACAAAATAAAATGGCAAACGTGAGCTCTACCACATATCAAAAATTACACTAAATTAATATGGTTGAAACACAAATCAAAAGACGCATTTTGGCAAAACATATTAAGGAAACATGACCCAAGTATATACTGCCACAAGAAACTCACTTCACACATAATGATTTTAGGCATTTTAAAGTAAAAAGATGGGGAAAGATAAATCATATAAACATTAATAAAAAGAAAGAAGGTGGCTATCTTAATATTCAACAAAATAAACTTCAGAGCAGATTACTGGAGACAAAAAGGGACATTTACCTAATGATAAAAGGATCAATCCATCAAGACAGCAATCCTAAATACATATGCACCAAACAAGAGATGTAAAATCTATAAAGCAAAAGATGATAAAACTAAAAGCAGAAATAGACAAATCCACAATCATAGTGGGAGACTTGAACATCTCTTTCTCAACAACTGAAAGAACTAGACAGAAAATCAGCCAAGACATAAAAGAATTCAACATTATCTACAGATCTAATTGAGATTTACGCAACACTCTACCCAACAAGAGCAGAATAATCCACTCCTAAGTGTCCACAGAACATATCCCAAAATACACCATATCCTGAGCCATAAAACCAACCTCAATAAATATGAAAGAAGTTAAACATACAGAATGTGTTCTCTTACTACAATGAAACCAAGCCAGAAACCATAACAGAAAGAAAGCAGGAAAACTCCAAACTCTTGGAAACTAAACAACATGCTTCTAAATAATGCATAGATCAAAGAGAAAATCTCAAAGGAAATTTAAAAATG